CAGGATGTCAATACATGCTTCCTCATGTAAGGAAGTAATAGCTAGAGGAGCACCAGGAACATGGAAGCCATAGAACAGATGATGACACCTTTGGAAGAGCTCTGTAAATCTAATAAACTAATCAAAAGTAAAATAATAAGAGAAGCTGTTTGAGCTACCCCTCCCAGGGAACATTTCCTCTTTAATCTAGAGCTTCTTAGAAACCTCTTTCTTCACTCAGTAAAATGCAAAGGGGAGAAAGGAAAGAAACAGGAAATTCTAATGATAGGGAATTTAAAATATTGAGGGAGAATGGTTAAAAAAAATAATGACTAAAAGATTAAGATCTAGGGAGAGCCATAGAGATTATCTAAGAATGATCCCCTAATTTGGACCCCCTCATGTTTGTTGCCTAAGAATCTATAGGCAGACAGTAGGACAGCCAGAATTTGAAGCAGGTGCTCTTTTTGCTATATCACACTGATCTGGGGGCAGTGGACTCCTGTTCACTCTCCCAGAATTGCGCTGCCTGCAGAAACAATCATATCTCCTGATCTCAGTGTGTTGTCCTAGTCTACTTTTGCTTATTAAATCCAGAAGTGAAGGCAAATATTTTTTATTTAAAATCAAAGCTTCAGGAAAATGAATGAAGCAGAATAATAGAATTTAAGAGATAGCAGGGACCCTAGAGATGATCTTGTCCAATGAAGAAACTGAGAGAAGTTAAATGACTTGCCCAAGATCATACGAATTGTGAAGAGCAGAGTCAGGATTCAAACCCAGGTCTTTTGAGTCTCAAAACCAGAGCTCTTTCTAAAGCAAACTTTAATGCAGAAAATAAAGTAAAAGGACACATAAGTGTTTTGGGGACTTGAGAGAAAATAGGAAGGAGGTATGTTTGCAATAGAAAGAACACTAAAATTATTGTCAAATTCTAGCTCTGCTACTTACTGGATCCCATCAAGCAAGTTATTTCACCTTTACCAACCTTTTTCCTCACTTGTGAAATGAGGGGGTTGGTCCAGTAAGGTTCTTTCTAGCTTTAATTCTCTAATCTGCTTAATTAAAACTGAAGAGAAGTATAGGGGCGGCTAGGTGGCACAATAGATAGAGCTCCTCCCTTGGAGTCAGGAGGACCTAGGTTCAAATACGGCCTCAGACACATGATACTTACTAGCTGTGTGACCCTGGGCAAGTCACTTAGCCCCGATTCCCTCAGTTTAAAAAAAAAAGAGAGAGAGAGAAGTATGAAAATATCCAGATACTTGTCATACTTTTATATTGGAACAGCATGTTAGTATCTTCTGTAGGCATAGAATGAAGAAAGCAGATCCCAAAGAATAGTGATAGTGGTAAGGAAGGAAGGAGGGAAGGAAGGAAGGAAGGAAGAAAGGAAGGAAGGAAGGAAGGAAGGAAGGAAGGAAGGAAGGAAGGAAGGAAGGAAGGAAGGAAGGAAAAAAGGAAGTGATTAATTGGCAATTTGATAAATTGAGACACAGTATCCACCTGAACAAAGGGAACAATTGCACAGTTCAAGTACTAAAACCAGAAGTATTTATTGAGCTAGTACAGCACACATGCACAGGCAGAATCCAGTCTGCTTCTCTAAAGATTGGGGGTTTAGAGAGTGTGGTTTATATGGTTTTACAACAAAGGGAGGTATGGCAATAAGAAGAATGCAGAGTACCCGGAACCAGAATGTTTGTGCAAGCTCTGTCCATTTCAGGCAGGTATGAATCAGTCTGAGCTGGCACAGTAAAAGTGTTCTGAGTTCACCTAGTGGACATGGCAAAGAATCACTAGTATGTCAAACTTGAGCAATACTCATTACCTCCCGTTTGGCTGGTTTTGATTCCCATGTTATGTCAGCCTCTTCTGGATAATAAGGGAGCTCAAGAAAATCGAGGTGATTAGTAAACTCATTATTCATTCCATTTCTGCAGAAGAAAAGAAAGGAAGGCAGAAGAAAAGAAAGAGGGAGGGAGAAAGAAAGAAAGAGAAAGAAAGAAAGAAAGAAAGAAAGAAAGAAAGAAAGAAAGAGCAAAAGAAGAAAAAGAAAAGAAAAAGAAAAGAAGGGAGGGAGAAAAAGAGGAAGAAAAAAAGAAAGATCATTGTGGTTTTTGAATTGTTTGATGATGTAGTTATAATGACTGCAATATGGAGTCATTTAGGCTAAGTGGTCCTAATCTCATAAACATATAAGCAGCGACAGACAGCTTTTACTTTTCTACTGTCCTGATTCATTCTAATTTTATGTCAAGCAATTAAATGATTGAGGCTCCTAATTGGATGAGACTATTGGCCAACTGCAATGGCTTCAAGCCATACCCATCCCTGGAGTCTCTTATTGTCAAAAATCAAATAAATAAATAAATAAATAACCCTCACCCAATTTCTGATCACCATAAGGAAACTTCCCTTCCCCTCTTCTCGCACCTCCCCCACCCCCAATCTGAGCCCAGAAAATTTCCCAACTACATCTAGGTCTGATTAGAAATGCCCTCTCCCACATTTGCCGTCACTTACCTTTCTGTTCTCAACCAAGCCCATTTTTAAGGTACAAAACTTTCGCTGTTCAAACTCTTACTTGGAGCATTTACTTCCACCACGTTTATTTCCACAGTACACATCTTCATTCCGCTCGAGCTGGGTGAGTGTCTTTGTATCACACTGTGTACGTGTGTGTGTGTGTGTGTGTGTGTGTGTGTGTGTGTGTGTGTGTGTGTGTTGTGATGGATAGCGGCGAGGGGAGGCGGGGAAGGGAGCGCTGCTTGCTCTGTTACATAACAATATGCTTGCTTTAGCTTCCTCAATAACGGTTTCCTGTCTTTGCTCTAACGTAACCCAAAGCAATGAAGCCAAATATAGCAAACAACAATAGAGGCTTTTTACAAATTGCATGGAAGAGAACAGAAGGTAAGTTCTAAGGAAGACACAGGTAAGCAGGTTGGCCTTGAAACTATTTAGTAAAGAAAAAAAAAGCTGTATGTAGTAGACATTTCTGGTTTCAGATAAAATCCTTTTTCTGTTCTTTATATATGGAATTTTTTTTTTGGCATTTGTATATGAAAATTTTGTTGGCATTTGTCAAAGTCAGAATTGCTAAAACCGATTAGTAAAATTACTAAATGTTTTAAAGGTCAGAATCATAGAATATTAGGGATGGGACAGACCTTAGAGATAATCAAGTCTACTTCCTTTATTTTATAAATTCCCTCATTTTTCGATACATGGAGCCTAAATCTGTCTCTCTCTTTTACTCATTGTCCTTCTGGGACCAAACAGAACAAGTGGAACAAACAGAACAAGAGGGACCTCTTTCCCATGTCAACCCTTTGAACACTTGAAAACAGCTATATTCTCCTTTCAAAAGTCTCCTTTTCCTCAGGCTAAACATTCCCATTTCTTTCAACTGATCCTCAAATGGCATAGTTTTCAATTTGTCCATATCACGGTCCCCTTTGCTGCACCTTCCTGAAGTGGGATGTCCAGAAATGAGCCGGACACTCGAGAAGCACTCTGACTGGGGCAGAGAAACTATCACCTCTTTCTTCCTGGTGATTCTTCCTATCTTAGTGCAGATTAGCAAGTGCTCAAAAACAATAATAAAATAAATCCCAAACAATCCAAGAAACCATTGGGTGAGCAAAAGAATCATCGTCCTCACCTTATGGTAAAGAGCCACCAGTTTCCCTGGAATCAAAGACTACATCAATATTGTACTGGTAATGACCATCAAGGGAGCACCTGGAAACATTACATGGTTTCTTGTTTCCAGTATTTGGCACCACATAGATAGAGCTCTCCTTGGCCAGGCAGCTGTCTTTCTTACACTAATATGTCACTAAATCTAGTTAAAGTTTGAATTCGTTGGCAATTAGCACTTTAAAAACTATAAATTATTTATCATTATCATCATTTTTACTATCACCACCATTATTATTCCTCCCCTAAATCCTATCCTGATGCCTAAGCCTACATTTTCAGAAGCTATGACAAGCAGAGCCTAAGCTCTGGCAATTCCTGCCAAGTGGGTTTGTATAATTCATTGGCGCAGAGACTTTATCCACTGATGATGTGAGTTGTAACTCCTCTACACTTGAATAAGTGGTCTTTGTAAGTTCCCATTATCAAAAATTCAACATTCTGTGGCCAACTGGGATGAGCCTCTTTAAGCTGAGCAAGGCTGTTCCTCAGTTGACATACAGTCTGTTGCTATGGCCATAATTAAGGCTTTTCCAGCTTGAGAGGAACCATTAAAATTTTCACTCCCTTGGCATAGCCTTCAAGCACCCAATCCCTCACATACGGAAGAGACTTTGAAGGAGGATATTGACAGAGGAGTATCATTTTCAACACATTTATAGTTCTTTGATCTAATTGATAGGGGTACTTCCTCTAATAGTATACAGCTCTCAACCTATCCATGAGGCAGCTAATGGTACATGGATAGAGCTCCAGGCCTGGAGTTAGAAAGACCTGATTTCAGATCCAGTTTCAGACACTTAACTAGCTGTGTGACCCTGGAAAAGTCATTTAACCATATTTGCCTCAGTTTCCTCATCTGTGAAATGAGCTGGAAAAGGAAATAGTAAACCACTTTAGTATGTTTGCCAAGAAAATCCCAAATAGCATCATGAAGAGTTGGACACAACTGAAATAACTGAACAATAAATCTCCCAGGGTTGTTGTAAGGATCAAATAAGATATTTGTTAAGTACTTAGCACACTCTTTGGCACATGGTGTGTTATATAAATGCTAGCTATCATCATCTCCAGAGACTACTATGTGCTTCTATAAATTCTATAGAGGGACCACTCACATGCTGAAGGCCTTCCTCTAGATTTCTTTACATTTCATAGCTACTAATGGAGTGAAGAGGCTGTACATAATGACCTACCCACTTCCTTTTCTGGTCATATATCCCTGTTCTGAAACCTTTCAGATCACTTTTGTTGTGTTACTGGTAATATCTTGTAACCTGTTCATGTTCACTGTATGCTTCCCTATTGACTTCTAGGTGATCTACAGTTTTGAAGCATGGATTCTAACCAACCACTACTCAACTGAAACCACACTCTCCAAGGTGACCAATATTCTCTTATATTTATTTATTTGTTTTTTTGTTTGTTTATTTATTTATTTTTGGCTAGGCAATGGGGTTAAGTGACTTGCCCAGGGTCACGAAGCAAATAAGTCTTATGTGTCTGCTAAATTCAATGGCCTCATCCTATTTGATGTTTTGGCAGGTTTTTTTACTCAAGATCGCACTCATAGAAGTATAGTGTTCAGAACAAGGGAAGTGACTGTTTCCCTACACTTGTCTGACCATATCTGGATTATTATATTCAGTTCTGAGTGCCACAGTTGAGGAAGAAAATTGACCTCCACTTGGCTCTGTTACTCCTCAAGCTATTATCCTATGTGTGGGACAGAGACCACTTACTCAAAAATATAAACAAAGACTTAGATACCTTGAAAGTAGAAAGGAGTTTATTGCTTTCTCATGAGAAAGGGTACCCTTTAGTTGCCATTGCGGGCCAGGAGAGTACGAGTTTGGTACAGAAATCAAGGCTTATTTATACCCTAATTCGAGTTCCTCCTCCCTAACCCCCTTCCCCTTATCCTGTTGGCTGGGCTTTCAGGGGGTACAATCTATTCACGGAGACATAAATTTGCCTAGAGACAAGAAAAGGTGGGAAGCTTTTCAAGGGCAAGCAGTTCAGCTTGGGGGCAGGGCTGTTCTTTCTGCTAAGCATTTAAAAACAGGGTCTGAGCCAGGGAGGGTTTTGAAAGCAACTATCAAGAACTATTAACAAGAACCATTGACTGCCTGAGGAGGCTTCACTTCTGAGAGATCATCTCTCACACCTATATGTCTTCTCCCTTTCATAGCCAACGCTTAAAAAAAGTTATCTGATCTTTACCTCTACTTCCTCATCAAATATTATCAAGTGAGATATTTGTAAAATGATTAGCCCAGTGCTTGGCACACAGTAGGTACTTAATAAATGGTCATTCTCCACCACCCCCGCTTTACCCCTTTCCATCTCTGTTCCTTCACATACGCAGTTCACCATTACAAGAGTACATTCCCTTCTTACCTTGTTGTCTCAGGATCCTCAACTCAAGTACCATTTGCTACAGGAAGTCATTCCAGGTTTCCCCACTTGTTAGTTCTATCTCTGTCCTCAAAATTACCTCATATTTTGGCCAAAACTCAGGTCCTTAGGATTAATCACCTATTCCCTGGCTCCTTGCCTTCTTTGTGTAAGGATGATAAAAAGGGCCTTTCTTGGGAAAGTGACTTTGGGAATCTCCCTGGGAGAGGACGCTCTGCCATAGGGACTTTCCCAAGGGAGACCCTGACAGCTGTGATACAGGATTCCCCCAGCCAGATGTTCAGGAGTTGGTGCTTCCTTGGATTGGTGATGTTTTTCTTCTTCTTTATCCCTCTATTTTTCTGTTAATGGTCTTCACTTCTAAGATTGTATAATCATATGTAATCACATTTATGTGCATGTATGTTTATGATTATTATCGTTATTAAATCATTTATAAGTTAGGAAAAGTGTGAACTTGTCTCTGTGGGTACACATCTGAACCTGTGAAACAAATTATCATTGCTGCCCCCCCGAACACCTTACTGTTACAACAGGAAAGGTAAACAGGGCCTTAACAAGGTTAAACTGTTTACATTCCATTGTAATAAAAAAGGAAGGCCATTAATAGATCTTGGGGAACCTTGGAGAGTGTTGTTTCAGTTGACTGGTGAATTTGGAGGCTGGATTGCAAGGAGTTGAGAAGTGAATGTGAGATGCAAAAAATGGAGGCAATGAGTATAGATAGATTTTTACTGAGAATTTGGCTATGAAAAGAAGAAGAAATAGATAAGATTGTGTAAAACTACCATAAACAAACATCCACAGAGAGGAAAGTACTGAAATAAAAGAGGATGAAAATAAGAATGAATATAAAAGCAATAAATGGAAGAAAACTGAAGCCTCACACCAACAACCTTAAATGTGAGTGGATTAAATATCCAACTAGATGAAAGAATAGCAGAGGGGATAAGAAGTGAACAAATTATTGAAGAACTTGGATAGGAAAAAATTATAGAACCTTTTGAATGATAACAGTAAAGGATATACATACACACATTCTCTCTCTCTCTCTCTCTCTCTCTCTCTCTCTCTCTCTCTCTCTCTCTCTCCCACTGTCTCAGCACCACGTGGTTCCCTTATAAAAACTGACCATGTGATAGAGAACAGAGATGTTATAAATAAAGATAAAAAGAAGAAATCTTAAATGCATGCTTGATAGACCACAAATAAAATAAAAGTAATTAATAAACAGGACACAAGTAAAGAATAGAAGTAGAATGTAAGCTTTACTGTAAATTAAGAATGCAGATCTATATATCCCACTTTAGTTTCTCTTCTGAAATTCAATCCCATGTCATAGACTATTTGTTGGATTTCTCTAATGAGATTTTTCTCAGGCATCTCAAAATCAACATTTCCTTTTCTCTTTTATTTGTTTCCTCCAAAAATTCTTTCCTAGTTTCTCTTTTTCTATTTTCTTCTTCCCTCTAGTAACTCAGGTTCACATTTCTGAGATCATCTTTGATTCTTCACTCTCTCGACCACTCCTTACACCGAATCACTTGCAAAGTCTTATTGTGTCTACCAACACAGTATGTCTTATACCTATCCTTTTCACTCACACAGTCAATACCCTGAATTCAAGGTCTTATCACTTCTTATTTAGACCAGTAATGTCAAATTCAAATAGAAACAAGGGCCACTAAACTATGCCAAAGGATCCCTTTGGCCCCATATTGACTTAGAAAAACACACACTAATATTATCCATATTTCATTGTATTTTTAATTTATTTTATTAAATATTTCCCAATTACATTTTAATCTGGTTAGAACCACACTTGAGAGTGTTGTGGGTTATGCATTTGACATCTCTGATTGGAAACATGCCATTCAAAGATGGCAGATTAGAGGGGACAGAGCTGAATTCCCTCAACATTCCCCTCCAAACAATTATAAAATAATGCCTCCCATAAAATTGCAGAGCAGAAGATCTAAGAAAAGGTCGGGGTTAGACATTTTTTGACCTAAGAAAACTTATTAGGTCAGCTGGAGAAGTTTATGATACTGGGGTAGAAGCCTGCCTGGAGGCCAAACACCCAGCAGCCGCAGCAGCAGCAGCAGCAAGGCCAGAAGCTACAAAAGCTGTTAGCCCAGTGACAGTAAGGGGGGTGGATAACTGGTCAGAAGGAAATTACAGCAGACTACTAATTGGCACTGGTACAGCTGGCACTGATCGGCAACTCTATTGCCCAAATGCAATAGTGGGTCATAGTTCTATGGGGAAAAGGTGAGTGCTAAGGGTCAGTCACCAAGGGAACAGGGGCCCTGCTCACAGTTCCAAGGCAAAGAGAGCATTACCACTTGTGGCTATAGGGGACCAGGGGGCCCTTACTGGATAAAGACCAGGGTGCAGACCAAGAGAACAGAGACCATACCTCTCCCAGGATCACACCACCTTAGAGACACCAAATACTTGCAGCTCCCTAGAACTAGCTCTAAAAATAGTAGCATGAAAAAGCCTGAAGCTTGGGACAGTACCTACCCACTCCCAGGTGAGCAGAGCTCAACCTTAACATAAAGTTTAAAGTCAAGAAATAGGCAGGAAACATAAGGAAACAGCAAAAAATTAACTTGACCATAAAAAGCTGCTAGAGTGGCAAAGAATACCAAGATAAACTCAGAAGAAGACAATAATTTTTTTTAAAGCTACAAACAAGGCCTCAAAGACAAATGCTAATTAAAACTAAGCCTAATAAGAATTCCTGGAAGAGTTAAAGAGATGAGAGTGATAAAGGAAAAACTTGAGAAAAGAAATGAAAGTGTTGATAGCCTAACGCCCTTCTATCATTCCAGTTTTCTTATTCCTTACTCTCTAACACTTCAGTCTACTGACATTAGCTTTCTGGCTGTTCCACAAACAAGACAATTCATTTCTTGGCTCTAGGCCTTCTCTCGGTCTGTCATATCTGGAACACTTTCCCTCCTTCACTCCAACTACTGATGTCCCAGCTAAAATCCTACTTCCTACAGGAAACCTTCCTCGATCCCTTTTAATTCCAGTATTTTAACTTCTCTTTTAATTATTTATTTCCTACATAACTTATAGTGTGCTTTGTATATATTTGTTTGCATGCTGTCTCCCTATCATGTCCCTATTGATTTTACCCTCATTATAATTTTTTTTAAATCTTAAATTAACCCTGTGAGTTAGTTACCACATGACATATTTTTTTCTTTTTCAGGATCAAGTCCCCAGGCATCTTAGATCATACACACATGTATTGTATTACAGTAACTCTACAAAGGCAACCCAATGGCACCTCAAAATCAACTTCAGAACATGTGAACCTAAATTCATCTCCCATCAACCAAACATCAATTTATATTAAGAATCTCTACCTCAGGTCTTGATCTTTAAGATGAGGATAGTAAAATATTAATGATCTAAATCAAAGGCCTAATTAAAGATTCAAAAAAAGATAATAGTTGTAAAGCATTTTAAAATGTGTAAGTTTCTCCATTGGATCAGGAACTACACTCTATGAACATCATACTTTAATTAGCATCTCATTATTTTGTATTCTTGTCTAATTCCCCTTAGTAGTGTGCTTAAGAAGAGTTCCCATTATGGGGCAGCTAATGGAGCTCAATGGATTGAGCTCCACCTTGAAGTCAGGAGAGTTCAAATCTTGCCTCAAGACACTTGATACTTACTACCTGTGTGACCCTGGGCAAGTCACTTAACCCTGATTGGCTCACCAAAAAAAAAAAAAGAGAGTTCTCATTTTGTTTCCTTGATATCATACTGTTTATGTAGAGGGTTTTTTTTTTAATTTTTTTAATTTTAATTTTATTTTTTTAAATTTAATAGTATTTTTTTCCCAATTACATGTAAAGAAAATTTTCAACACTCATTTTGGGGAAGATTTCAAGTTCTGCATTTGTCTCTCTTCCTCAATCCCCTCCCTCTCCCCTCTCCCCAAGATGGCAAGCAATCTGATATAGGTTATACATGTTCAATCACATAAAACATTTTCACATTAGTCATGTTGTGAAAGAAGAAACAGAGCAAAAGGAAAAAAATAAGAAAAAAAATTTAAAAGTGCAAATTACATGCTTCCATCTGCATTCAGACCCCATCAGTTCTTTCTCTGGGTATGGATAGCATTTTCCATCATGAGTCTTTGGGAATTGTCTTGGATCATTGTATTGCTGAAAAGAGCTAAATCAATCATAGTTGATCACAGCAGTGTTAATGTGTACAATGTTCTCCTGACTCTGCTCACTTCACTCAGCATCACTTCATGTTAGTCTTTCCAGGATTTTCTGAAATCCACTTGCCCTCATTTCAGCTAAGATTATTTTAAAAGTATTTGTTGAAGTGAACTCCTTGAGTTGTGAAGCTTTTGCCTTGCTCACTTAGTCCCAGATGTGAGTGAAGCTCTGGAAAGAACCTGGAGTACCAAGGTGTGAATCAGGTGAGTTGGAGTTGGCACTTACCAGGTGTGAATCTAGAGAGATGGAGCCTGGGGGCTCTGAGGGATATAAAAGGGACAGACCATCAACCTCTGGGGGGCTCATATCTGGAGCTACAGAGCCTGAAGAACATCCCATAGATCAACAGAAATAAAGAAATACGGCTGCAGTTCATTTAGCTGAAGACATCAAGGAAGAGCTGACCTGTCCTGTGTACATGGACTACTTTAGCCACCCAGTGACCTTAGGTTGTGGCCATAGCTTCTGCCACCTGTGCCTCCTCAGGAGCTGGGGAGAAGCTGACCAGCCCAGCTTTTGTCCTGAGTGCAGAAGAGCCTTCCACATGAGAGACCTAGAGCCCAACCATCGCCTAGAGAAGCTGGCCAGCATAGCCAGGAACCTCAGGCCCTACTTGCTGCAGATCAGAGAGGAAAAGATAACATGTGAGAAGCACAAGGAGGAACAAAACCTGTTCTGTGAGGAGGACCAAGCCTTCCTCTGTGCATCATGTTTCCAGAGTCAGGAGCACAGCGGTCACACGGTGCAGCCTCTAAACAAAGCTGCAGAGGCTTCTCGGGACAAGCTCCAGGAAACTTCCAATCTTCTCTGGAAAGAAGTGGAGACCATTCAGAACATGCTGGCTAAAGAGAGGCAAAAAGAAGAGATCTGGAATAAACAGACAACTGCTTGGAGGGAGATTGTTAGAGCTGAATATGGAAGATTACTTGATTTCCTCAAGGATGAAGAGAAGTGGTACCTTCATAGACTGGCTTGGGATGAAAGGGAAAACCTGCAAAAGTTAAGAGAAAGTGAAGTCAGGTTCTCACAGCACCTTCAGAAATTAAGGGAAGAGATCATAAACATTGAACAAATCTGCCAGAAACCCAATCCCCAGCTTCTACAGGTAGCAGGAGAAACATTTAGAAGGATTAAATCACTGTTGAATGACCATCCAGAGCCTGCCAGACATCCACTGACCATAACTTGCATCACTGGGATGTTTGAAATGATGAATAAATTCAGGGTGAATGTGACTCTGGATCCTGAAAGTGCCTCTCCCTATCTCATTGTGTCAAATGATTTGAAGACAGTCAGAAATGGAGGATACCTGCAGAATGTACCTGTCACCCCAGACCGATTTGAAGATGAGATCATTTTGGGGGTTCAAGTCTTTACCTGTGGCATTCACTACTGGGAGGTGCATGTGGGAGACAGTCAGCAATGGACAGTTGGTATGTGTAAGGAGTCACTGAGCAGGAACTCTGATGTCCCACTCTTTCCTGGGGATGCATTTCTGATTACATATATACAAAGTGAAGATACTTTCACTATCATCAGCAATTGCTCCCAGACACCAAAACAGTCAGCGTACCCAATCCACAGGGTAGGGATTTTCCTAGACTATAATCAAGGCCCGATTTCATTTTATGATGCCCTGGAGAGATGCTTTATATTGAGTTTCCCACATTTCCCCTTCTCTGAGCCTCTGCGACCAGTATTTTCTCCTTGTCCCCCAACAGAAGGGGAAAGTTCAATTCCAATGTCCATCATACCATGAGACATTCATATCTGATATCTCTTCTATCCCAGATACTTTCTAAGGTATACAGCTCCAAACTCTTGACCATATTCATGATGGGCAATAGAAAGGCATTTTTTTCCTTAGTTACTGGATGTCATCCAACATCCATTATTTGAGGAGAAATCTAATCAGACAAATATAAGTTCAATTAAGAAATAAAGGAGACCTTTCAAAAAAACCACTATTCTCTTTTGTTATTAATTTATTTTAAACTTAAACACTAAGAAAAGAAAAAAAACATAGTATAAAGTTAAATACTAAAACTTAAATACAAAATAAGAAAAGAAAGCATGATGTATAAAGTTAAATACTAAAACTTAAATACAAAATAAGAAAAGAAACCATGATGAGGGGAATTTCCTATCTAAGACCTTGGGGACTGTTACTGTTCTGAGTCTAATTCCAGGTACGGTTAATGAGGAACTGATTGAGCTTCTGACCCATGATGTCACAACCTGCAAAGAGGTTTGTGAGCTACATCTATGAGCTGCAAAAGGGTGTTCTCATGGGAAGGTGGGGGAACAACTTTTCTGAATGCTGAGGTAGGATTCTCCTGACTCAATTTTCCCACTATGACACCTGGCAGACTTTAAACCTGGCTCAATGCAGTTGGTCATTATATAACTTCTGTCTGGAATTGACATGAATCTAGGGAAGCGTTGTTCCCTGACTTTAATTATGTCCCTATTCTTTCATGGCAAATTCCTATAATCATAAGTTTTGTAAGCATAAATATCAAACTTATTAAACAATAGATTGATTCGGGAACATCTGAGGTTATTATAGTAAGATGCAAGTATAAGATTGAGTTATTTGGGCTAGAATTTTGGAATTAAGTATTCAGTCTTGACATCTGTTACTAGTATATTCCTGTATAAGTCAGGATCTTTAATTTCTCACAGTTGTATGAGGATAATTAGGCCAGGAGATTGAGGAACTAGGATATTATTTTGTTACTTAGTTAATACTCAGTTAATGTTAAAGTTGTCTCAATTTGTTACAATTAATTAATGTTAAAAGAAAAATAGCTTGTGACTTGTAAATGCTTTACAAGAAGCACTCATTTTAATTAAGGATTATTTATTTGCACATGACTGGAAGTTGGGATTGTTTTAGTATTTTATATGTACTGGTTTTAAATTAACTACTAGGTAGTAGAGTCTGCTATTAATTCTATAGTGGAATCTCATCCTGATGGGGGAATATGAATAGGAATGAATACTGAATTAATGTAAGGTATAAAACTAGAAGTAATCCAGAGTATAAGACTAGGTTCTAAGTTTTCTAATTTGAGTTTCTTAAAATATGACAATGGGCCAAGGTAATAGTGGAGACATGGGAGTTGAGTTAACTTTCATTATTTGCCCTGATTATTAGCAAGGTAATTTAAAAATTGTGTTGAGATCAATCTTGTAGGAGAGTAGACACAAGAAGGAGGATCACTACAAGAAGAGAGTCTGCTGGACACTGCTTGAACAGCACTTAGACCAGAGGACTTCGGTGGATGATGTCTAAAGTATCAGACAACTGTATGAGAAGAGACTTTTGAAGCTTTAAATAGACAATTTATCATTACTTTTGTGTCTTTGTATCTGTACTTAAGGGGACTGCCCCCTTTTTAATTTGTCAATTCGTAGGTCAGTTTCTCCCTTCCTTCTCCCATATTGTTCCCCAAAATCCCCTGATGAAATGTTGCCCAGCAGCACAGCCCCAGATAAAATCATGACTAAGGCACTGCAAGGTTTAACCACTCCAAATGAGGAGTTGGTAGAGAACTCTGGGATAGATAATTGATTAAAGGGATGGTTAGAATACTGGCTTGGTAAATGGAAAAGGAGTGGCTGTATACATTATCGCTAACCTAATTGTGGCTGAAATGCTGTAGGATGTTGAATATGTATTAGAGGACTGGTACAATGCTTGGTAGAGATGTCCCTTACTAAGATTATTCCAGTAGAACCCACAGTGGGAGTTCAGATGGCAGGCTCTGCCAATATAAGAATGATGATTCAAAGTACCAGTAAGACTTCCCCCAGTGAAGGAGAATGTGAAATCATGTTAAAGAGATTTGAGAATAAGGATATTTGGAATGTGTGGAAGCCAAATCTTTACTAGAAAAAAAAAAGGAGGAATTGTAAGAAAGATTTTAGGGAGTTAAGCTTCCACAGCAGGATAAGAGATTCCAAGATGTCATGGAAAGTCCCTTAACCAATCAGAAAGTACAGCAAACAACTATTTCCTTAAGAAAGGGCCCTGGAGACTAAACCAGTTGCAACTCATTGGGTTTAAGGATGGAACTTCTACCAGACAAAGGCTTTTCTCCACTGTGCCTGCTTACTAAGCTTATTAAATATTAATTGACACGCCCCAAGGGTGGAGATAGCTGCCATTTTTGAACATGAGACCCATGACGTGGGCGGAGTTAACAGAACATGGATAAACATGCACTGGGCTGTCCAGGAAGAGTGTAACTCAGATGAACTAGACCAATCGTAGCCTTGATGGGTAAAGTATGGCTCTCACTAATAGTTTAAAAGTTGATTCTACTCCAACTGAACCAGCGCCTAAGTGCTACTAAAG